TAGAGTTCTGTAGATGTCTATTAGGTCCATCTGTTCTAGTGTGTTGTTCAGTGCCTCTGTGTCCTTACTTATTTTCTGTCTGGTGGATCTGTCCTTTGGAGTGAGTGGTGTGTTAAAGTCTCCCAAAATGAATGCATTGCATTCTATTTACTGCTTTAATTCTGTTAGTATTTGTTTCACATATATTGGTGCTCCTGTATTGGGTGCATATATGTTTATAATGGTTATATCTTCTTGTTGGACTGAGCCCTTTATCATTATGTAGTGTCCTTCTTTATCTCTTGTTAGTTTCTTTGTTTTGAAGTCTATTTTATCTGATACTAGTATTGCAACACCTGCTTTTTTCTCCCTGTTGTTTGCATGAAATATTTTTTTCCATCCTGTGACTTTTAATCTGTGCATGTCTTTGGGTTTCAGGTGAGTCTCTTGTAGGAGCATATAGATGGGTCTTGCTTTTTTATCCATTCTATTACTCTGTGTCTTTTGATTGGTGCATTCAGTCTATTTACATTTAGGGTGATTATTGAAAGATATGTACTTATTGCCATTGCAGGCTTTAGATACATGGTTACCAAAGGTTCAAGGTTAGCTTGTTTGCTACCTTACTGTCTAACTTAACTTGCTTATTGAGCTATTATAAGCACAGTCTGATGATTATTTCTCTCCCTTCTTATTCCTCCTCCTCCATTCTTCATATGTTGGGTCTTTCATTCTCCACTCTTTTTATGAGTGCTCTAATCTAGAGCAGTCCCTCTAAAATACCCTGTAGAGGTGGTTTGTGGAAGGCAAATTCCCTCAACTTTTGCTTGTCTGGGAATTGTTTAATCCCTCCTTCATATTTAAATGATAATTGTGCTGGATAAAGTATCCTTGGTTCAAGGCCCTTCTGTTTAATTGCATTAAATATATCATGCCATTGTCTTCTGGCCTATAAGGTTTCTGTTGAGAAATCTGATGGTAGCCTGATGGGTTTTCCTTTGTAGGTCACCTTTTTTCTTTCTCTGGCTGCCTTTAATTCTTTGCCCTTGTACTTGATCTTTGCCATTTTAATTATTATGTGTCTTGGTGTTGTCCTCTTTGGGTCCCTTCTGTTGGGAGTTCTGTGTGCTTCCATAGTCTGAGCAACTGTTTCCTCCCCCAGTTTGGGGAAGTTCTCAGCAATTATTTCTTCAAAGGCACCTTCTATCCCTTTTATCTCTCTCTTCTTCTTCTGGTACCCCTATAATGCAGATATTGTCTCTTTTGCATTGGTCACACAGTTTTCTTAATATTGTTTCATTCCTGGAGAACCTTTTATCTCTCTCTGCATCAGCTTCTATGTGTTCCTGTTCTCTGGTTTCTATTCCATCATTGACCTCTTCATCTTATCCATTCTGCTTATAAATCCTTCCAGAGATTGTTTCACTTCTGTAATCTCCCTCCAGACATCATCCCTTAGCTCTTGTATATTTGTCTGCAGTTCCATCAGCATGTTTATTTTTATTTTGAATTCTTTTTCAGGAAGACCTGTTAGGTCTTTCACCTTCTCAGGGGTTGTTATTTTGGTCTGTATCAAATTCTTCTGCCTTTTCATGGTGATACAGATAGTTTGCAGAGCGGGCACAAGTGAGAGCTGGGAGAACGTCCCTTCTTGTTGGTTTGTGACCTTCCTCTCCTCTGAGAACAGCAACCTCTAGTGGCTTGTGCTGGGCAGCTGTGCACATACAGGGCTTCTGATTCTTGCCCAGCTGCTGTGGAATTTGGCTCCTCAGTTGCTGTGGGCATGGCCTGCCTCAGGCTGCTTCTCTGATATGGCGGAGCCGCATCGGAGGGGAAACAGCCAGGAGGCTGTTTATCTCTGTGAGGGGCCTCTGGGGTGCGCTGTTGCCCAGGGAGCTAGGATGTCCAGAGTTCCCCGGGATTCCCAGCTGCTTGGCTAAATGTCCCGGAATGCTTCTGTCCAGGTGTAGGGTCCCTGTCCCTTTAAGACTTTCAAAAAGCACTCGCTTTTCTTTGTCCCAGAGGTGCCAGCTGCAGGGACCCACTCACAGGTCTTATTGTCCTGTTTCCCTAGTTTCCAGCACCCCCCACACACACACACACACTGTGTCTGCACTCTGGTGTGGATGGCTAGAGCTGGCTGTTTAGCAGTCCTGGGCTCTCTCTCCCTCCCTGCTCTGACTCCTCTCCTCCCACCGGGAGCTGGGGTGTAGGGCGCACTTGGAGCCTGCCAGGCTGCGGCTTGTATCTTACCCCCTTCACTAGGCTCTGGGTTCTCACAAGTGTGGATGTAGTCTGGCTGTTGTCCTGTGTCTTCTGGTCTCTCTTTTAGGAAGAGTTGTATTTGTTGTATTTTCAAAAATACATGTGGTTTTGGGAGATTTCTGCTGCTCTACTCATGCCGCCGTCTTGCCTCCACCCTGCATATGTCTTTTTGAATCTGAGAAGTTGTATTCTTTGGGTAAATTCAAGGAGTAGGATTCCAAGCTGACAATTTCTTATAAAGTTAAACTTCACCTACTATTTAACACAACAGGCCCACACCACATTATTTACCCACAGGAAAGGAAAGCAAGTCCACACAAAGACATGTACCCAAATACCTACAGAAACATTATAAGTATCAAAACCTGGAAATAATCCACGTGTTTATCAAGAGTTGGATAAGAAAAAAATGGGTATATTATTAATGCATTGGAATAGTCTACAATAAAAAGCAATGAACTACTGCTATACACAACTTGGATGAATCTCAAAACCATGTTAGATGCAAAGGAGTGCCTAGTGTTTGATTCCATATGTATGAAACTTGACAAATGCAAATTTAATCTGCAGCAACAAGCAGATAGATGGTTTTCTAAGGCCAAGGATAGGAGATTGTTTGGGATGGGACACAAGGGCTCTTTTAGGATAATGAAAATACTCTGTTTTGATTATGGAAGTAATTACACAGGTGTATACATGTGTTAAAACTCATCATAATGGACAGTTAACATTTTTTGTAAGTAAATTATGCTTCAGTGCAATCAACTTTTTAAAATCCTTGGTCTCCCAGTTACTGTTTGAAAGATCTTAGTTAATATCTTTATCCTCTCTGTACCTCAGTTTCTTAATCTATAATTTGAGAATAATGTTAGTAACCTGGAGTGATTGTGATAATTAAATGGGCTAATGATGGTAAAGTTCTTAAAAATTTTCCGGCACATACTGAACCTGTATGTATGTGAGTTACTTTGTACCAAATTTCTAAGTTAGAAGAATTATGGCTTTTAGTTCCACAAAGTTGTTGCTGTCTACAATTTCTTAGGGACCTGTTCTGAAAGTTTGTCTATTCATCCTTTGTGTGGCTTCTGCAAATCCCTAGATGTGTTTTTATTTCCCTTTATATAGTTAAAGAAATTCCCTTATTTTGGTAAGAGTTTCTAAAAGGATTTTTTTTTATCATGAATGAATTTTATCAAATGCTTATTCTGCATCTATTGAGATTATCATGCAGTCACTTTCTTTTAATCTTTTAATGTGGGTAATTACATTAATGAACTTTCTAAGGTTAAAGCTCACATCCAAATTGATAGTGAGCTTGCCAGCATGTGCTTTCACACTTTAAAAATATGTTATTTTTACATTTTTTGCATTTATGCTTATAAGTGAAATTGGTCTGGGATTTTCTTTCATTTACCATACTAATCTGGTTTTGGTATCAATGTACTACCAGTAACAAAGGAAATTTGGGTGTATTTCACCTTTTCTACTCTGTTCCACAAAATTGGAATTATCTGTTTACTTTGATATAGATCTGTATTTTAAAATACTTTTCATGACATTTAACTAGGATTTGCGGTTGGTTTCAAGATAGTTGTGTTTACTCAGTCTTCTGTTTTCATAATTTTTGATCAAATATGACAGGCTTCCTTATAAGCCTAAATTACTTGATTTGATTCTCAAAACTAAGATAAGGACTCCAAGGTTATTAAAGCAAAGCTACCTGCTTAGGTTCACACAATCAGCAAATACTGCAGCTGGGATTAAACACAAGCCTCTGTTATCTTAAAGCTTCTTCATATAAACCCTGTGATAAGTGTGTATATGCAAGAGTGTGTTCATGTGTGCTGACATGCACACACACACTCACACCATAGTAAAATTTCTGATGGGTTAACAGTAGTTATCTCTGGGTGATAGAATAATAGGTATTTTCTATTTTATAAACTTTTATTGAAATTTTTGTGTGACTATTACTTTTATAATCAAATAGAATTAAGTGAAAGATTAGAGACATATACAAGCAGTTAATTTAAGGCTGTGAAACTCAGAATTGAACTGACATTGATTATTAAATCACACATGAGTATTCATTGAGAATCCTGGAAACATGAAGAAAAAATATAAAAATGTAATTTGAGTATCAAAATGCAATTATTTTGAAATTTTCTTGAAATGATATATGTGTACTTATCTGTGTTGATGTCATGATAGATACAAATGGGACTTGGAATCAGATTTAGGTTTGAATCATAACTCTGTAATTCAGTAAATTTCTGATCTTAGGCTAATTAATCCCTCTGGGACTCAATTTCCTCCTGTGCAGCCTAGAGAAAATAATACTTGAAAGCAAACATACTATCAGAACAAAGCAAGATCAGGTATATAAAGAACCTAACACATAAATACAAAAAATACAGTAGCAGTTATTATAAACTGTTCATATTTCAGTCATACCCTTGCTACTATTACATTTATTTCTTAGAAACAAAATTATTCAGAATCATAATAGTACTTCTTTTTTGTCTTAGTAGCATTTATGTTATGTGCAAGGTATATTCAAGTTACTTCTGTTAATAGTAGAAAGGATTTGATCATGTTAATGCCCCAGAATTTAAATACTATTTAGAATATCTAGATGTTTTCATTTTTTTCTGAAATTATAATTATGTAAATTAATGAGAGATGTTACAAAGAATAGTCTTCTAAAATAGTAAAAAATCATTATGTAATTTTAATTGATGTGTTAATGATTTCAGGTTGTAGAATCATTGCAAAAACTGGAATATGATCCCACTGAAGTGGAAGAATTTGTGGAACATTTTACTTTTTTGAATGCAATTTCCACAATATCTCAATTAGGAAAAGAGTACTCAACAGTTACCCAGCTGTTTTCTGTTGTAAGGTATTACCAGATCCAGATTTCAGAAGAACAAGTGCCATATATAAAATCCTTCTTATCAAGTTTGCTCAACTAAAAACTTCAGTGAAGTTAAGTGAAACAAATAAAGATGCTGCTATTGCTAAATTCAGAGACAATTTAGAAGCATACATCACTGGTCTACGAGTTGATGTTATTAATTTAAAGACAAAAGTAAGCTTTTGTTTTTCACTAAAAATCAACCTAATATATAGATATTTGCTTTCTTTGGAATTTTAGGTAAATAATTTAATCCAAGTATTCTTAACCTGAAATCCACAGACATAATTTTGGTGATTTGTTAACTTGAATGGGAAGTAAAATTGCATGTTTATTTTACTAACCTGTAACTTTAGTTTAGCATTTTCTTCAATTATGAATGAATGTAGACAACAAACAGTATCAAGGCTGGTGACTTTTTCCACAGGAGTCAACAGCTGCCAGTGGGGGCCTATGGCATTTTAAACGGCTAAAAAACAAACAAACAAACAAAAAACCTTGAAATCCTTCTGAGCCTTAGTCTAGGCCAAATGATGACAGCTGCAACTTTACTCACTTATGAGGAGCCAACTGTAAAATGAACACCAACGTTTATTAAACCTTTACTGAATATCAGTCACTATCTTTTTAGTTACAAGGAAAAAAACAAACAACCCTGAGATTTAAAGAAATAACTTGCCTGAGATCACACAGCAAGTAAGAGCCAGGGCTCCAGATACCTTGCCTCTCACCACTCGTCTAGTCTCACCACCATTACAAATTATTATTATAATATTTATTCAGTATATTTCAGGTAACTAAAACTATGTATTAGGCACAATATAATACCTAATACTATGTATTGCAATTAGTTTTTTTTCAATGTTTCCATCTATACAGTTAATCTATACTGTTCCACACAAATATAATGATGAAAAAAATTAGTCTTATGAAAATACACACATATCCAATTTTTAGTCTTTAAAATGCACTAGAAATTTACACATACATACATACAACCAAGTCTCAAGTTCACCGTATTTCTATTTGTTAATGGCATTAGGTTGGACACTGAAGTGAGATCTGTGTTGCAATAAGTTACTGGAGAGTGCTTGTGGCAACAATGTGAGAAACTCCTGGGGTAATCAAAATTGAATAGAGGGAGAAGTTGGACCATGGTAGTACTGCTACAAGAGATCCAGGGGATCCTACGAGAATCTCTAGAACTGGGATGACCCTGCTGAATTATCCTAACTGGAGGCAAGAGGGCTAGGCCTCTATATTTCCTCTGTGAACCTGCAGAGGGGGTCTGATCTTGGGTGACTCTGCGCTTAGTTATGTGGAGTAAGCATCTATCTTCAGGTTCACTTATTTTTCCTCTATTATTTCTATCCTATTGAACCAAATCCAGTAAGCTTTTATTTTTGTTTATTGTGTTTTTCAGTTCTAAAATTTCCATTTGGTTCTTGTCTATATATGCCTTCTCTTTTTTCTTTGCTAAGATTTCTATTCCCCAGTAGTTTCAAGAGTATTTATCACTTTTTAGTAGAGCATTTTTATATCTGCCTTAAAATCTTTGTCAGATAATTCTAACATCTGTGTATCTAGGTATTGGTATCTGTTAATTATCTTTTCGCATGTGAGTTGAGGTTTTCCTGATTTTCTTATTCTACTGGATAATTTTGTATTATATATTTTGGATTAAATGTTAGGCTGTGAGACTCTGTGTCTTATTTAAATCCCATATAATGTTGATATTTTTGTTTCAGAAGGCAGTTGACCTAGTTCGGTTCAGGTCCCAAGTTCCAACCCACTTTCTCTGGGCTGTGTATCCATTGTCATATCAGCCATGAAGGCCTTTGCACCATGCTTGTTATTGTGGTCTGCCATTCCCTTCCATAACTGCACCTACATCTGAAGCAAAGTAGCAGAAACAGGAAAAATCAACAGGGTTGACCCTCTTTGGAACCATAGCTCATTGGAACATAGACTTCTCCTCCTTCAGAGTTTCAGCTCCTGAGGCTTTTGTCACCACAAGTTGCTAACACCAGCTTGTGATTGCTTGAGGGCTGGGAAGTGAAAGAACAGAAAAAAAGAAAGAAGAGGGGGAGGCTTCCACGCTCAGTGTGAACATTAGGAACTGTCAAAGAAAAAACAATTTGCAGGGAGGCTCAAGATGGTGACAGAAAAAGCCTGAGCCCACCTCCTCCTCCACATGCACACCAAACCTACACCTGCACACAGAGCAATTCCTCCTAAGGGAGAATGGAGGCTGAGTGAATACCTGAGTGGAGAGGAAGAGACCATATAAAGAAACAGCAGAGAGACAGAGACACAGGAATAGCAGGAACCTCACCCCAGCACAGCCACCTGAAGTACAGAGGGGTATCACTTAAGACCAGAGTGCAGACTCACCTGCCTTGGAGCACACATACACAAAAACATGGTTTGAAGGGCAACTACCTTACAAGTAAAGGAAGCCGAGTTTCAGGACTAGAGTACCCACCAAATGGCTGGGGAATTGCGGGAACTGTTCGTTGTATCAGTGGTACTGGCAAATGCCATTGTTTGTATTGCCCCTGCACACTAACAGCATGGGTGGGAGCAGTTACAGGTACACTCACCAGCAATAGATGTAACCTATGGCAGCTCCCTGCCCAAAGATGCCCAATCTGTGCAGCCCAACAGCATTCATATGGACTTCCCCAGACTGTACCCCCTAAACCATGGCCAACACTCCCAGCTGGCACTTGTACCCCCTTGGCCCTGGCAACTTCACTGTGCAACAAGACCTGGCACTGACTGGGACTTCCTCTGGACTGCCCCCTTGGCCCTGGCTACCCTGCTGGGGTATCCCTGGATGATAATGACAAGGACATCCCCAGAATATGCCCCCTGGTGCTCTTTCATACTTAGCTAGACCACATTGGGCTGCACCTCCTGGATTGCGCCCCCACAGCCCTAGATGCCTCAGGACTATCCCTTGCCCCAGCTTACCAGGATTTCCCTGGACCATGCCTCCTGATCCCTGATATTCTGTGGCATACACCCTGGCCAGTGCTCACTGGGACACCCCAAGTCCATGACCACCTGACCTCCAACCAGGTAACCAAACTGACAGGCACCTGCAGTCTACCCATGGGATGTTCCTACACAGCCTGCCTCTTCAATACTGGGAGAGGTAGCCCTTTTGCCTAATCTGGAGAAATAAACAAAGTAAAAAAAATGAGAGGAGTATGTTCAAAATGAAACAACAAGACAAAACTTCAGAAAAAGGACTAAATGAAACAAGCAGTCTACCTGATAAAGAGTCCAAAGTAATGGTCATAAAGATGCTCACTGTACTTATCAAAAGACTGGATGAACTTGGGGAGGACCTCAACAAAGAGACAGAAAATGTAAAATGAATCAGAGATGAAGAATACAATAAATGTAAAGAAAAACAGCAGAGAGAATCAACAGAAGATTAGATGATGCTAAGAATGTGTCAGTGATTTGGAACACAGTAATGAAAAGCACTCAAGCTGAAAAGAAGCAAGAAAAAATTAAAAGGAATGAGGATAGGTTAAGGGACCTTTGGACAAGATCAAATTTACTAATATTTACATTAAAGGAGTCCCAGAAGGAGAAGAGAGAGAAAGGAGTGGAACATTTATTTGAGGAATTTATAGCTGAAAACTTACCTAACCTGGGGAAGGAAACAGACATCCAGGTCCAGGAAGCCCAGAGAGCCCAAAACAAGATGAACCCAAGGAGGTGCCTGCCAAGACATGTAATAATTAACATGTCAAAGATTACTGAGAGAGAAAGGCAACAAGTTACACACAAGGGAAACCTTATATGATTTTTTCAGCAGAAACTTTACAGGACAGAAGTGAGGGGCATGATATGTTGAAAGCATAGAAAAAAAAAAAGAAATCTACAACCAAGAAAACTCTACCCTGCGTGTTTATCATTCAGAATTGAAGGAGAGATAAAGAGTGTCCCAAGTAAACATAAGTTAAAATAATTTATCACCACTAAATCAGACCTCCAAGAAATGTTAGAGGGACATCTTTAAGAGGACAATAAGAGGCCATAGCTAGTGGCAAGAAAACAATGAAGTGGAAAAATTTCACTGATAAAAGCAAACATAAAAGTACTACATAAAAGTAGAACCTCAGTGCTTTAAAAATAGTAAAAATAATATCTAAGAAATTGGTTATTAATATTAACTATTCATTATTGTATGTTAGTTAAAATTAGTTATTAAATAAAAAGGTATAAAACAGAATTTTATTCATAAAACATGGAGGAGGGGTGGAGCCAAGATGGTGGCATGAGTAGAGCAGTGGAAATCTCCTCCCAAAACCACATATATTTTTCAAAATACAACAAAGGCAACTCTTCCTAAAAGAGAGACCAGAAGACACAGGACAACAGCCAGGCTACATCCACACCTTCGAGAACCCAGAGCCTCATGAAGGGGGTAAGATACAAGCCACGGCCTAGCAGGCCCCGAGTGCCCCTCACCCCAGCTCCCGGAGGGAAGAGAGGAGTTGGAGCAGGGAGGGAAAGGTAGCTCAGGACTGCTAAACAGCTAGCCCTAGTCATTCACACCAGAGCACAGACAGAGCATGCGTGGGGTGCTGGAAACTAGGTAAACAGGACAGTAAGACCTGTGAGCAGGTCGCCGTGGCTGGTGCCCCTGGGACAAAGAAAAGCTAGTGCTTTTTGAAAGTCTTAAAGGGACAGGGACCCCACTGCTGGATGGAAGCATCCCAGGACACATGGCCCAGCAACTGGGAATTCTGGGGAACTTAGGGCACCCTAATGCCTAGGCAGCAGGGCAACTCAGAGGCCCCTCAGGGTGATAAACAGCCCCCAGGCCGTTTCCCCTCTAACGCGGCTCTGCCATATTGGACCAGCCTGAGGCAGGCCACGCCCACAGCAACTACAGAGCTAAACTCCACAGCAGCCTGGCAAGAATCAGAAGCCCTGTCTGTGTGCAGCTGCCCAGCACAAACCACTAGAGGTTGCTGTTCTCCCAGGAGAGGAAGGCCAGAAACCAACAAGAAGGGATATTCTCCCAGCCGTCACTCACACCAGCTCTGCAAACTATCTCTATCGCCATGAAAAGGCAGAATTTGAGACAGACCAAAATCACAAAGTCAACCCCTGAGAAGGAGATAGCCCTAACCAGTCTTCCTGAAAAAGAATTCAAAATAAAGGTCATAACCATGCTGACGGAGCTGCAGAGAAATATACAAGAGCTAAGGGATGACATCCGGAGGAAGATTACAGAATTGAAACAATCACTGGAAGGATTTATAAGCAGAATGGATAAGATGCAAGAGGCCAGTGATTAAATAGAAACCAGAGAACAGGAATGCATAGAAGCTGATGCAGAGCGAGATAAAGGGATCTCCAGGAATGAAACAATATTAAGAGAACTGTGCAATCAATCCAAATGGAACAATATCCACATTATAGGGGTACCAGAAGAAGAAGAGAGAGAAAAAGGGACAGAAAGTGTCTTTGAAGAAATAATTGCTGAAAACTTCCCCAGACTGGGGAAGGGTATAATCGATCAGAACTCCCAACAGAAGGGACCCAAAGAGGACAACACCAAGACACATAATAATTAAAATGGCAAAGATCAAAGACAAGGACAGAGTTTTAAAGGCAGCTAGAGAGAGGAAAAAGGTTACCTACAAAGGAAAACCCATCAGGCTATCATCAGATTTCTCGACAGAAACCTTACAGGCCAGAAGAGAATGGCATGATATACTTAGTGCAATGAAACAGAAGGGCCTTGAACCAAGGATTCTGTATCCAGCACGATTATCATTTAAATATGAAGGAGGGATTAAACAATTCCCAGATGAGCAAAAGTTGAGGGAATTTGCCTCCCACAGACCACCTCTACAGGGCATTTATGATGGACTGTTCTAGACGGGAGCACTCCTAAGACTAAACAGATGTCACCAGAGAAAATAAAATCACAGCAAAGAAAGCAGTCCAACCAAATACTTACTAAAGGCAAAAAATAAAATCAACTACCCACAAAAGCAGTTCAAGGAAACACAAAAGAGCACAGAATAAAACAACCATCATATAAAGAATGGAGGAGGAGGAACAAGAAGGGAGAGAAATAAAGAAGCACCAGACAGTGTTTACAATAGCTGAATAAGCAAGTTAAGTTAGACAGTAAGATACTAAAGAAGCTAACCTTGAACCTTTGGTAACTATGAATCTAAAGCCTGCAATGGCAATAAGTACATATCTTTCAATAGTACCCTAAATGTAAATGGACTCAATACACCAATCAAAAGACACAGAGTAATAGAATGGATAAAAAAGCAGGACCCATCTATATGCTGCTTACAAGAAACTCACCTCAAACCCAAAGACATGCACAGACTAAAAGTCAAGGGATGGAAAAAGAAATTTCATGCAAACAACAGGGAGGAGAAAGCAGGTGTTGCAGTACTAGTATCAGACAAAATAGACTTCAAAACAAAGAAAGTAACAAGAGATAAAGACGGACATTACATAATGATAAAGGGCTCAGTCCAACAAGAGGATATAACCATTGTAGGTATATATGCACCCAACACAAGAGCACCAGCATACATGAAACAAATACTTACAGAACTAAAGGAGGAAACAGAACACAATGCATTCATTTTAGGAGACTTCAACACATCACTCACTCCAAAGGATAGATCCAGTGGACAGAAAATAAGTAAGTACACAGAGGCACTGAACAACACACTAGAACAGATGGACCTAATAGACATCTATAGAACTCTACATCCAAAAGCAACAGGATATGCATCCTTCTCAAGTCCACATGGAACATTCTCCAGAATAGACCACATTCTAGGCCACAAAAAGAGCCTCAGTAAATTCCAAAAATTTGAAATTCTACCAACCAACTTTTCAGACCGCAAAGGTATAAAACTAGAAATAAATTCTACAAACACAACAAAAAGGCTCACAAACACATGGAGGCTTAACAACATGCTCCTAAATAATCAATGGATCAACTAACAAATTAAAATAGAGATCAAGCAATAGATGGAAACAAATGACAACAACAGCACAAAGCCCCAACTTCTGTGAGACACAGCGAAAGCAGTCTTAAGAGGAAAATATATAGCAATCCAGTCATACTTAAAGTAGGAGGAACAATCCCAAATGAATAGGCTAACATCACAATTATTGAAACGGGGAAAAGAAGAACAAATGAGGCCTAAAGTTAGCAGAAGGAGGGACATAAAAAAGATCAGAGAAGAAATAAACAAAATTGAGAAAAATAAAACAATAGAAAAAAATCAATGAAACCAAGAACTGGTTCTTTGAGAAAATAAACAAAATAGATAAGCCTCTAGACAAACTTATTAAAAGAAACAGAGAATTAACACACATCAACAGAATCAGAGAAACGAGAATGGAAAAATTATGACAGACTCCACAGAAATACAAAGATTTATTAAAGACTACTATGAAAACCTATATGCTACCAAGCTGAAAAATCTAGAAGAAATGGACAACTTACTAGAAAAATACAACCTTCCAAGACTGACCAAGGAAGAAACACAAAATCTAAACAAACCAATTACCAGCAAAGAAATTGAAGCGGTAATCAAAAACTACGCAAGAGCAAAACCCCCGGGCCAGACGGATTTACCTCGGAATTTTATCAGACATACAGAGAACACCTAGTACCCATTCTCCTTAAAGTTTTCCAAAAAATAGAAGAGGGGGAAATACTCCCAAACTCATTCTATGAAGCTAACATCACCCAAATACCAAAACCAGGCAAAGACCCCACCAGAAAAGAAAATTACAGACCAATATCCCTGATGAACATAGATGCAAAAATACTCAATAAAATATTAGCAAACCGAACTCAAAAATATTTCAAGAGGATCATACACCATGACCAAGTGGGATTCATCCCAGGGATGCAGGGATGGTACAACATTCAAAAATCCATCAACGTCATCCACCACATAAATAAAAAGGACAAAAACCACATTATCATCTCCATAGATGCTGAAAAAGCATTTGACAAAATTCAACATCCATTCATGATAAAAACTCTCAACAAAATGGGCATAGAGGGCAAGTACCTCAACATAATAAAGGCCATATATGTTAAACCCACAGCTTACATCATACTGAACACTGAGAAGCTGAAAGCTTTTCCTCTGAGATCGGGAACAAGACAGGTATGCCCATTCACCCCACTGTTCTTTAACATAGTACTGGAGGTCCTAGCCACAGCAAGTAGACAAAACCAAATACAAGGAATCCAGATTGGCAAAGAAGAAGTTAAACTGTCACTATTTGCAGATGACATGGTATTGTACATAAAAAACCCTAAAGACTCCACTCCAAAACTACTAGAACTGATATTATAGGAATACAGCAAAGTTGCAGGATACAAAATTAACACACAGAAATCTGTGGCTTTCCTATACACTAACAATGAACCAATAGAAAGAGAAATCAGGAAAACAATTCCATTCACAATTGCATCAAAAATAATAAAATACCTAGAAATAAACCTAATCAAAGAAGTGAAAAACCTATACCCTGAAAACTATAAGACACTCTTAAGAGAAATTAAAGAGGACACTAACAAATGGAAACTCATCCCATGCTCTTGGATAGGAAGAATTAATACCGTCAAAATGGCCATCCTACCCAAACCAATACACAGATTTGATGCAATTCCTATCAAATTACCAACAGCATTCTTCAATGAACTGGAACAAATAGTTCAAAAATTCATATGGAAACACCAAAGACCCCAAATAGCCAAAGAAATCCTGAGAAAGAAGAATAAAGTAGGGGGGAATCTCACTCCCCAACTTCAAGCTCTACTACAAAGCCATAGTAATCAAGACAATTTGGTACTGGCACAAGAACAGAGCCACAGACCAGTGGAACAGATTAGAGACCCCAGAAATTAACCCAAACATATATGGTCAATTAATATTTGATAAAGGAGCCATGGACATACAATGGCAAAATGACAGTCTCTTCAACAGATGGTGCTGGCAAAACTGGACAGCTACATGTAGGAGAATGAAACTGGACCATTGTCTAACCCCATATACAAAGGTAAACTCAAAATGGATCAAAGACCTGAATGTAAGTCATGAAACCATTAAACTCTTGGAAAAAAACATAGGCAAAAACCTCTTAGACATAAACATGAGTGATCTCTTCTTGAACATATCTCCCCGGGCAAGGAAAACAACAGCAAAAATGAGCAAGTGGGACTACATTAAGCTGAAAAGCTTCTGTACAGCGAAAGACACCATCAATAGAACAAAAAGGAACCCTACAGTATGGGAGAATATATTTGAAAATGACAGATCTGATAAAGGCTTGACGTCCAGAATATATAAAGAGCTCACACGCCTCAACAAACAAAAAACAAATAACCCAATTAAAAAATGGGCAGAGGAACTGAACAGACAGTTCTCCAAAAAAGAAATACAGATGGCCAAGAGACACATGAAAAGATGCTCCACATCGCTAATTATCAGAGAAATGCAAATTAAAACTACAATGAGGTATCACCTCACACCAGTAAGGATAGCTGCCATCCAAAAGACAAACAACAACAAATGTTGGCGAGGCTGTGGAGAAAGGGGAACCCTCCTACACTGCTGGTGGGAATGTAAATTAGTTCAACCATTGTGGAAAGCAGTATGGAGGTGCATCAAAATGCTCAAAACAGACCTACCATTTGACCCAGGAATTCCACTCCTAGGAATTTACCCTAAGAACGCAGCAATCAAGTTTGAGAAAGACAGATGCACTCCTATGTTTATCGCAGCACTATTTACAATAGCCAAGAATTGGAAGCAACCTAAGTGTCCATCAGTAGATGAATGGATAAAGAAGATGTGGTACATATACACAATGGAATATTATCCAGCCATAAGAAGAAAACAAATCCTACCATTTGCAACAACATGGATGGAGCTAGAGGGTATTATGCTCAGTGAAATAAGCCAAGCAGAGAAAGACATATACCAAATGATTTCACTCATCTTTGGAGTATAAGAACAAAGGAAAAACTGAAGGAACAAAACAGCAGCAGAATCACAGAACCCAAGAAGGGACTAACAGGTACCAAAGGGAAGAATGGGGAGGGTAGGAAGGGATAAGGGCGGGGATAAAGAAAGGGGGTATTATGATCAGCATGTATAATGTGGGGGTGGGGGATCGGGGAGGGCTGTGCAACACAGAGAAGACAAGTAGTGATTCTTCAACATCTTACTATGCTGATGGACAGTGTCTGTATTGTGGTTTGTGGGAGGGACTTGGTGTAGGGGAGAGCATAGTAAACATAATTTTCTTCATGTAATTGTAGATTAATGATAACGAAATTTTAGAAAAAGCAAAAAAAAAAAAAGAAAAGTATATGATGAACATACCATAAATCTGTGACCCATTGTTATTTATAGGTTTACCTAAAAACGACATGGTAAGGCATCTTAAGCAATCTGTGACAGATTTTAAACAAGAGCTCCCTACTATCATAGCTCTGGGAAACTCCTGTCTCAAGCCAAGGCATTGGAAGGTCCTCCAAGAGATTATTGGAAAATAAGTTTCTCTTAATATAAACTGTAGAGAATCTTCTAGCACTCAAGGTAAATAAAAACAGATTGAAAAAAGTACCAAGCATAGTTGAAATACCAGAGGGACCAATTTTGAGTAGACGAGTCAATGTACAAGAAATAGGAATCAGAAAAGGGAGAAGTTTATAAAATGTCTGGGAAAGTAAGAATATATTAGTAAATGATAGACAGTAGGAAGTTTAAGTGGAGACACTGGATAAGCCATTCATTATACCACTATTATCTAGATGATTAAAAAACAGTATACTGACTTCATGTGGGACAAACGAAATCAGTGTTTTATTGTTTAACAGTGCTACTCTTCTAGAACCAAAAAATTAAAAAATGTTCTATTTCATTTTATGTAAAATAAAATATATTAAAAACATGTGTTTGGATAGCCTTCCAAATAGCTTGCTATTATTTTTTAAATACATAATTAGCCTTATTTGATTTGTCATGTAGGTCTTGTTATAAAAATAGAAACTTCCCATGATTTTTTATGGCTAAAAATTTTTCTGTTTTTCATGCCTAGCTTAAAATAAGCTTCATTTATGTTGCATGTTTCATGGCTGACAGCACCTAATATAATCAAAACAGTATTTTTATATCTATAATTTTCTACTAAATGACCTGTTGCAATGAGAAAGTGGGCAAAAAAAATTTTTAAATAAAAAAGAAGAATTTTAAAAGACAACTTTGATTTTAAAATTAGATTATTTTATTCACCAGCCCTAACCTCAACCTCCCTCTGGAACTCAATATTTCTGCTTATATATCTGAGAGATGTCTCAAAATTAACATGGCCCAAAGTGCACTTTCCATGTTCTGTCTTTCAGACTCTATTAGTCCTTGCTCTTCCTCATCTTGGTTAATGGCACCCCCACGTTTTCCAGCTGCTCAGGCCAATGATCATGAAATAATATGAGTCCTCTCTTGCTTTCACATCTCATCCCATCTAACTCTCCCATCCTTTCCTTCATCACTACCAGAGGCACCTAAATGATTTATCTGTTATGAGTGAATTCAGCAAAATATCTAGACAATTTCAGAACATGTCAGTTAGTGTTAACAGGTGGGTTTTTCAAAACAGATTTCCAAAAGTCTAGCAATTTCAATGATATTTTTATTTTCTTTTTTTTGTTGAAGTATAGTTAATATACAATATTTACTGTTTTCAAGTATACAACATAGTGATTAAACAGTGACCTACATTATTAAATGCTCATCCCAACTAGTGTGTTTACTATCTGTCAACAGAGAAAGATGTTGCAGAACTATTAACTATATTCTCTGTGCTGTACTTTCATCCCCATGACCAATGTATATATGATTGAGATTTTTGTGCCTCTTTATCCCCTTCACCTTTTTCACACACCAACCCCAACTCCATGGTAACCACAGTCACAACTTAGTGTCTATTTCTGTTTAGTTTGTTTTCTTTGGATTCCACATGTAAGTGAAATCATATGGTATTTGTTTTTCTCTGACTGGATTATTTCACTGAGCATAATACCCTCTAGGTCCATTCATGTTATTGCAAATGGCAATATTTCTTTCTTTTTATGGCTGACTAAAATTCCATTGTCTATATGTGCCACATCTTCTTTATCCATTCAGCTATTGACACACACTTTGGTTGCTTCTGTTTCTTGGTTATTGTAAATAATGATATTTTCATTTTGAAAGTCTTGGATTATTGGGCTCGTTCCCAGGCAAGTCAGGTAAAGGGTGAAATTTGGCAGGCTAATAGTGTAGCTTGCCTAGAGTACAGCTGGTGGCCTTCATGGGGTTGGTGATTCCATTGTGGTATCCTTATATTTCTGATATGAATAAGTAGTTCAAAAAGAAACTCCTATACCATTTTTGGAGGACCCAAATTAAGATAATTCAACATCTGAACAAAATGAACAAGGTCTTTAGCCTCTGAAATACTGTAGCCAAGAGTCAGAGGAACCCTTTCTCCTTGAGGTTAATTGTCCTAGCAGTCAGAGGGCTATGTAGGAAGACAACTGGTAATCCCAAGTGAACTCTGAGTTTCCTGTATGATTTTAATCATCCTATAGTCATTTGACAACTTATCTGGTGTAATATAAATTTCCAGATGAACATGATCTGTCCCAGAAACTCAGCCTTCATTTACTAAAATATACATATCTTGGAGTTAACCCAGAGATGGTGGTCATGCTGCAAGACTGTCCCTCACAGGCTATGATGTTAGGGAAAAACTTACAAGGACAGCTGTCTGGTCCAGGTAGCTCCCTTCTGCTGCTCTTCTTAGCAAAGACAACAGAAACTCCCTTAACTTCCCCCTCCCCTTCACTCTCTACTCTGTCAGGCACTTATTCCCTAAACTTACTCCCCCTTGCTTGCTGTGTACGCAGGAATGTTGCAGATATGGATTTGGGACTCAGACCTTGGGAGATTACTCCCTTCTGAGCCCAGTGGTGTAAAATAAACCTCAAAACTCCAGGACCTCCGAGTGCTGCTTGGTTCTTCCGTCAGTGATCCAGTCCAGGTTTTTCCAATATTTTCCATAACAATGATAGTTCATTTTTGATCCTATCATCTGAATAAATTATGATGCTGTAGGACAACCCTTCTGTCCAGGATGTTATACAGCTCATGAAAGACTTGTCACAAAGTAAGTTAGTAGGAAGAGGTCAATACTATGCATAAGATGAACACAGTCACTTTGTGGTTGATCATTTTCACTTTAGAAAGCCATGTGCTTTGTAATAGGGGCAGATAACTAATTAAAGGCATTAGGATTCATCTGAAACCTCCTTAATATTACCAAGTCATTTGGAAGATCTGTCAGTCAGATCCCAAACTTCAACCATAAATACTCAAAAGGGCTAGATTCACATATTTGAAATTTTGCTTTACGCATTATCAGTATCTGGATTTGGTTTTTAGCAGTTTCAGAATGTTAGTATTAGGCACAGAATTCTGTCTTCAGCATGGAAACTTGCTGGTTCCTTTCTGCTTTTTCCTGAATAATCTGTGTCAAAAGGCAGGCCTCCTTCCCAATGCTGTTACTTAAGGCCATGGGCAGTAAAGAGATTCCACCATTAATACACCATATCTGTCAGATCTATAAGGGAGAGGATGAAAACTCATCATATTTGTTCATAGTTCCCATGAGCTGCACACAAAAAATACAGATTAGGCATCATTTTTAACCCCATGGAGATGACCAATGGGAACAGTGGTAGATTCTTCTTTCAGGGTTAAAAACGAGCAACCCAATTAGTTACTTCTAGGACATAGTGATGAGAAGCTCTCTCTGTGTTTGATAGTGAATGAATCTGGACATCTTATAAAAGGATCTTGTCCTATGGGAATTAGCAGTCAGTGCACATAGAGAGAAGGCCTATCTGTACTCCACTAATGTATTTTGAGAGGCACTTATCTTCTCGGAGATGTGGCAAAGAAAGGAAACCATGGAGAGCTGGGTCCTTTAGAATTACATTCTCTCAGATGATTGGATCCAAGAATCACCACAGAGAGAAGCAGAAATACTTTCTGTACAGAAGGTGCTGTGACTGGGGACAGGGGAAATTGTCAATGAGCAGGAAAAACATGACAGTTTGAAACAAAAACAAAACAGTTGAAAAACTGACAAGGGTGTTGAAAACCTGTCATGAAGGTTAGGCCATGAGGTCTCCAGTTAGGACGTAAACCTAACTGGAATCAGACCTGCAATATGCTTCTGATATGCCTTCAACACCTTCTTTTAAACCTTGCATTTTAAATGCATCAGGAATTATTTGCTCCACTGGAAATTAAAAAATTATCTCTTCATTCTGGATGTTTCAGTATGAAAATGAAAGTGAAATATCAACATTAGCAACTAATGAAGCTGCTCTTGAAAAAATGCTGTTTAAGATTATTGATCTTTGGAACACTACTCCATTACATTTAGTTCTTCATCACACAGACTTATTCTATCCTAATAATTTCATCCATAGATGACATACTAGCTCAGTTAGAAGAGTCTCAGAACATACTTGCAAGAGTCAAAGAATCTGCATATCCAGGGCCCATTAAGGTAAATACTATGGCAAAAGAAAGTGTTTTTATTGTCTGTGGTTTTATTTATTGCTTTAATACTTTGTGTTCTACAAGCTTTTGAGTTATATAAATCATTCATATATATATATATATAAATTAGTTTGAATATTTAGTAGTGTGATTATAAAAATCACTTTTTATGCAAACATTATTGTTCATGAGGAAATAAAGTTTAATTTGGGTAGACAAGATAAATTTAGACCATATAAAAATATCACCTTATAAACCATGACTTTTACTGGTGGTGCCAGTGCTGCTGGAAGCACCCAAAACTGCAGTGACCCCGCTGAAACCACTGCCTGAGGCTCTGTTTACTGAGTGGAGTGCTTCATTTCCATTTCCTGCCAAAGGTAACCCTGCCTCCATACCGCCATTTCCCTATGTTTATTTCTAGAACAAACAGCAAGCTCCACATCTCCTCTGGCATAACTAGGGTCCCCTGTAGTCCCTCTCTGGGCAGCCCCCTATCCAATCACATAGCTTAGAGACATTTAAAAACTTGAGGAAACTCAACAAGATATGCAATAGTATAGAGATATTTAATAATACAATTAGCATAATTGATTATAGAGAGTGAGAGAAAGAAATACGTACCCAGAAATAGAATTCACATTATTTGCAAGTGCACAAACATTTAGGGAAAATGTCAATTAATTAGAATTTAGAGAAAAAAACAGAAGATTATAAAAATTAAATAATTTTTTAAATCACAAAAGTTTTAAAAGACTCAAAACTCTACAAAAAAGGGATAAACCAAATGAATAGACTGTTTACTAATATCATGTGAGGTAAAACAAAAAATGAACAGCAGGAAAATAGCAAAAAAAAAATAGACGACAAAACTACTCATAAAAAAATGGAAATTTAAAAGAAACCATGAGAATATGCAGGAAATGTAATCAAAATTTTAAAATTAGAAATAAGCAAAAAAGGAAGGAAGTATAAATCAAACCTCATCACAGTTGGCTAAAGCCCTATGAAAGGAATATTTAGAGCACTAAATGCTTTATTAAACAGTAAAAATAAATTTAATAAGTGATAAATTAGGCACACTCAAGAAGCTGAAAAAGAACAGCATGCACGCACACACGTGCACACACGTGTGCACACACATGCACACACGTGCACATACATGTACACACATGTGCACACACATGCAGACTTCCACTTCCAGGTAAGACGGAGTACAGGGACCAGATACACCATTCTGCCTGAAATACCAAAAGCAGAACAGAAAAAATGTATGGCACAATGGTTTTCAGGACAATGGACATAGGCAATGAAGGATAGGATCCCTGAGGGATGGAAAACAGACCAGGTGAGCCCTGTGATCGCCCGGACTCACTGACTTGAGCTTCCAGACCTCGGTTGTGGGGGTAGGGGAGGAATCCCACCAGAGCAGGGTAGACCCCCTTACATTAAGAGATGCTGTTGAAAGCTGAGGAGTCAAAGGAGGCTAGAGTTTGCAGTCTAAAGTACCAGGGAGGGCAGGGCTTCATACAAGAGAACTAGAGAGAGCTGCAGAAGCCCCCCTAACTCAGCAATTCAGCAGTCCTAACCACTGGAAGGTGAATGTGAGGAAATACTCAGGACCCAGGAAATGACCATTTGAAACGTTTAGAGAGAGCCATTAATGGAGGGCCACAACAGAAAACCCTGTAACACACAAATGTATGTAAAGAGGATGATGTATTATCAACAAGAGAGATTAATCTAAGAAATACAAGGTTGATTTAACATTCAAAAGTCAATCAGTGTAATTCACTAAATTGAAAAAAAAAGAAATGATATTCTCAATATATGCTGAAAAAGCATTTTACAAAATCCAACATCCAGAGGGAGCCAAGATGGCGGCATGAGTACAGCAGCAGAAATCTCCTCCCAAAACCACATTTATCTATGAAAATCTAACAAAGACTACTCTTCCTAAAATAGAGACCAGAGGACAGATGACAACATCCAGACCACATCCACACTTGGGAGATACGAGCTCCTCACGAAGGGGATAAGATACAAGCCCCGGCCCGGGGAGTCCCGAGCGCCCCTCCCCTCAGCTCCCGGCAGGTGGAGAGGAGTCAGCAGGGAGGGAGGGGAAGCCCAGGACTGCTGAATACCCAGCCCCCACCATCCGCACCAGAGTGCAGACACTGTGCAAGCACCGGATCCTGGATACTAGGGAAACAGGGCTGCAGGACCAGTGAGAGGGTTCCTGAGGCTGGTGCTGGAGAACAAACAAATGGGAGTGGACTTTTTTTTTTTCTCCACTTTATTTTTTTTTTTTTGGCGAGTGCTTTTTGGAAGTCTTAAAGGGACAGGGACACTAATACTAGGAAAAGAGGGAAGCAAGAATGGTGAGTGGGTGCCTGAGACTGGCACCTGAGGAGAAAGTAAATTGTGCGTTTTTTTTGTTTGTTTTTTTTTAAATTATTTATTTAATTTTTTTTTCTCTTTTGTTGTTGCTGTTGTTGTTTTGGTTTGGATAGTGCTTTTTGGAAGTCCTTAAAGGGGCAGGGCAGGACACTTAGTCAAGAGGCAGGGAATCTGGAGATCTCTGGGCACTCTAACCCACTGGGAAGCAGGGAGCACAGAGGCCCCTTACGGAGATAAATAGTCTCCTGGCCACTCCCCCTCCAACGGGGCTCCACCATTCTGGAGCAGCAGCCTGAGCCAGGCCACGCCCACAGCAACAGCAGAGATAAACTCCATAGTTGCC